CCGTCCCAACGCGCGCAGCGACTTCGAAGTTGCGATAATATGCGCGCTCCGTCTCGAATTCGACGCCGTATGCCTCCTTATCGATCAACTATGGGACGAAGACGGCGATCAGTATGGCAAAGTTGATGGAGACCCAAACGTATACACGACAGGCCGGATGGGGAAGTGTAATGTCGTCCTTGTCCTTCTGTCTAACATGGGAAAGGCAAGCGCCGCTAGCGCAGCTGCAAGTCTTCGATCGAGCTATCCGCGGGTATCGCTGGCCTTTTTGGTCGGCATTTGTGGGGCGGTCCCATTTGCAGGATCGGAAAGGGACCCTGTTGTCCTCGGCGACGTGATCATAAGCAACTGCGTGGTCCAGTATGACCTTGGAAGAGCGCTTCCGGATCGCTTCGTCCGCAAAGACACCGTCCATGACAGTCTTGGAAGACCAAACAAGACCGTTCGCAACATCCTGATCAAGCTTGATACGAACATCGACCGCGAACATATCGAGAAACGGGCGGGTGACTTCCTCAAAGCTCTTCAGACAAAGAGCGAAGAAGAAGCCAAACGGAAGCGAAGAGGCAGGCATACCAGCTACAAGTACCCGGGAGCAGCCAACGACCTCCTCTTCCCTGCCTGGTACCGACACAAGCATACTGCTGATTCCGGGTGCAGAACGTGTAAAAACTGTCACAGCAACTCGGATCCCGCTTGCGATGAGTCTCTTACATTGTCATGCAAAGAGTTAAAATGTGATATGAGCTGCGTGGTATGGAGAGAACACTTGGAGTCAGCCTCAAATGATCCTCATGCCAACTCGGATGCCAGGGGTGTCGTCTTCTTCATTGGCACAATCGGATCTGGAGATAGCGTTATTCGGTCTGGCGAGCACCGTGATCAGATCGCTAAGCAGACAGGAGTTATTGCTTTCGAGATGGAAGGAGCAGGCGTATGGGATGAGCTGCCATGCATCGTGATTAAGGGCGTGTGTGACTATGCCGACAGCCACAAAAATAAAGAATGGCAGAGTTATGCTGCGGCAACCGCGGCGTCGGTAGCGAAGGCGGTTATGGAGAGATATGTCGCCTTTGCTAGGGTTTCCGACTCTTCGCATGGTAAGATTACCGCCGCTCGAGCCGAGGGACACCCCGCTGACCATTTTAGAGCGACTATTTGTCAACCGTGGAGACATTCTCGACCAGATCGGCCAACGATGTTCGGGGCCGGCCGGCCGTGTGGCCCTAGTCGGCCTCGGTGGCGTGGGCAAGTCACAACTGGCTATCGAATACGCGCACCGAACAGCGGCAAAGGAGCCTGACAGATGGGTG